CGTCAAGAAGCCGCACCGCTACCGGCCCGGCACGGTGGCGCTGCGCGAGATCCGGCGCTACCAGAAGTCCACGGAGCTGCTGATCCGCAAGCTGCCCTTCCAGCGCCTGGTGCGCGAGATCGCGCAGGACTTCAAGACCGACCTGCGCTTCCAGAGCTCGGCCGTCATGGCACTACAGGAGGCCAGCGAGGCCTACCTGGTGGGGCTCTTCGAGGACACCAACCTGTGCGCCATTCACGCCAAGCGCGTCACCATCATGCCCAAGGACATCCAGCTGGCCCGCCGCATCCGCGGAGAGCGCGCCTGAGCTCCCTGCCCTTCTCCTTCAAACCGAAAGGCTCTTTTAAGAGCCACCACACGGCCACTTGAGAGAGCTGTTGTCTCTGCGTTACGGTGCAGGCAGGAGCAGCCGGTGCCGAGCACTTTAATTGCTCAGGGTGCAGTGGGAATTCAGGGAGAAATGGGGGAGTGGGAGCGTTCCGTAGTGTCCAGGCGTGCCCTCCCCTTGTGCCCCGTGTGTTTGGGTCATGGTGAGAGGTTCACCATTGTCTAAAGGCGCCGGGGCTGAGAGGGTGTGAGGGGCCGTGCTGTGCTGGTGCAGGCGAGAGCCGTGCCCAGAGAAGGGGCAGCCTCAGGAGCGGGGCGGGCGAGGGGGCTTTTTAAGAGCACGGTCTTTGTTGCGTAGGGCGCTAAGGGGTGCTCGTGGCCGTTTCTTGTTCCCGCTCCGTCCCGCCCACCGGCTGGCAAAGAGAAGAGCGCCGCCATTTCAGGAGCTCCCTCCCTTGCCCTTGCAGGCTGTGGCGGTAAAAGCGGTGCCGCGCCAGCGGCTACGGGAACAGCGTCTGGCCCCGACCTACCCCCGGCTTTGTTTTTTGTCGGCTGTGTCGCTTCCCTTGTCCTTTGGAAAGAGGGTGTGTGTTTAGCGGGTGGTGCTCGGTGTGAAAGAGGAAGGGGGGAAATAAAGGATGCAGGTTTCAGACGATTTATTTTCCTACAGCAGCGAGAGCCCCCAGTCAAGTACAATAGCGACTGCCCTCGTTTCGTTTCCCGAGTAAATAGGGATAGTCTCGCTCAGTTGAATGCGAGACTTTGCCCCGTAGACCGCAGAAAAGTTGGACCAAGCAGCAGTGGGCTTTTGGGGGAGCCAAGAACAAAATCCCGTCCCCTTTCGCCAAACATTCAGTAACTACTAGAGAAGCGATTTAAAGCTCTTTTTTGAGATTTGTGGGTGGCTCTGAAAAGAGCCTTTGTGTTGTAGAAGCGCTGGGCTTTTACAGGAAACGAGTTTAGCCGCCGAAGCCGTAGAGAGTGCGACCCTGGCGCTTGAGGGCGTAGACCACGTCCATGGCCGTGACCGTCTTCCTCTTGGCGTGCTCCGTGTAGGTGACGGCGTCGCGGATGACGTTCTCCAGGAAGACCTTGAGCACGCCGCGCGTCTCCTCGTAGATGAGCCCCGAGATGCGCTTGACGCCGCCGCGCCGAGCCAGGCGGCGGATGGCCGGCTTGGTGATGCCCTGGATGTTGTCGCGCAGCACCTTGCGGTGGCGCTTGGCGCCGCCCTTGCCGAGCCCCTTGCCGCCCTTGCCTCGTCCAGACATGATGAGCACCTCGCTGCTGCCGCCGACGACGTCGGTATACGGTAGCGTTGTCCGCTCCTCGATATTTATGGGGTT